GATTCCTCCCTCAAGTAGACTCAAATGGAACGACACTCGATCTCAAAGAGCCTTGCCCACAGCCGCAAAATGTCATCCGTCCGCATTCCCACAGGAACAGACGCTCGCCGGTACAGTTCGAGCGGGAATCGAAGTACGCCCAGAGGCTGTCTGAAAGCGGAACAGTGCTCCGTCTCGGACAACATACCACGCAACACACTTTGTTGCCAAGCCGGAACCACAATCGTCTCGGTGAGTGGAATCATAGCGTTTGTCTTGCACACTTGCTCTGCTCGACTCGGTTTCCTCGTCAAGCGAATGGTACCATTGTCGCTTAAGTCGTCTTTTCGTCGTGGACGGCATCATGTGCCCCTCGGCCCGACGGAGGCCAAGCTGACATTCGATTGTCTTCAGTCCCAAACTGGCCGGACCCGAGTTAGGCTGGCGACTGCATCGAATTTCGATGATTGCCACAATCGATGCTCCGTAGAACTTGATCACTCTTCACCCTCCGCCAATCCGGGGCGCGACTAAACGCGCCATGGGAACTCTTGCCCACTGGCCGTTTATGCAAATCTAATTTCATCGCGTCTCCTCTTCTGGCCGGCCAACGGCTGGCCCGACAAACAGATCCGTCCGCACTGACCTGAAGGGATCAGTTTACAACAGCGACGCCCACTTTGCGAAAACGCGAGGGGGGCGCCGGTGTACTTATCTACCAATTTATATTCCATGCATGAATAAGCATAAAGACGCCCGTACACAGAACGATCAATCATAAAGGCAATAAACTAAACTTTTCATACCGGTCCGACTGGGCCAGATCGGACGTGGTCGAGATGATGATGATATTACTACTACTACTACTGTTTATGAGTAGATAGTAATCATATTAATGATATTAAATAACACTAGGTATTAATATTATAATTATACTGTATACAATAATCATAATAATAATACATGTTATTAGTATTCGTATTCGTATTATTATTATTATCACCATTTTCATAGGCATCGGCATCACCACCAACCCCAACAGCAACATCTTCATCTTGCCTGCTTGAGCTAGATCGGGCTGACCCAGTCGTAGAAACAGAAATATATACATTATCCACACTTTTTAATAAAAGGGAAAATCACTGCCACACTCTACTTATGTCTGACTTGAGTAGCATAGATCAAATGTTATCAATTGACGCGTCGAAATTGGGCTAATCATGCCAAAATACTGCCCATTCAAACTGCTGGCTAGCATAAGTCTTCGTTTTCTTCATCATATTCCTGTCAGTAAGAGAATACTTTTTTCTATAAATGAGATGCATAAATCTTATTTCATTTAAAATGATGAAGAAATGTTAGTTGAATTTTCGCAAAATTAAAGTGTAGACCTTATGATTCCGTTCAATTTCGAATTGACTTGCTTTTCCAAAATCTATTCTCATCCAAACTCGAATGGACTGCAGGTTCGACCTCGCCTGAGCTGGTCTCATCAGTACCTCCAGCGGGACTCGAATCTAGGTGCAGATGAGACCGTTTCAGGCGAGGTGGAAGTGAATGGGAATACCTTTTGGATGGCGAGATTATGTGAAATCGAGTGGAAACGTCAGGTCTACTCAACTGATTGTGGGAATATTCAACTACCATCATCACCTTAAACGGAATAGGGTGGACAGGGCTCTTCTCTCAGACCCAATGGTATTATCGAAAGCCTACTTAACTACGAGTGGTTATGAAAGAGCTCCATATCGCCAAATGTGATTTAGGGACTGATAAGTGTGAAGTTGTCTCGAGAAAGTTTGCTTATACAAAACATTTCGGAGCATACTCATATCGAAAATTAGTAGCACTAGCAACAATTTTAATTGTTAATCTCTTTTTCTTAAATTGCTCTTGTTGTCAGAGCGACTTAATTGGATGTATCTTGTCCATTTCTAAAAATCGGAAAGTGACTGCGACCATACCGGGGGGCACATCAAATCACATTACATCACATCACACTACATCACATCACATCACATCACATCACATCACATCACATCACATCACATCACATCACATCACATCACA